TCTATGAATCAGTGAGTACTATATATAAATAATATGCGAACTCAATTGAATTTGATCAGCAAAATTAGCCAATCAGACAAACTTCTGCCTATGATATGTAAGATGATCTTACCATATGCAGTCTGGAATTACCATATTGGTATTGGTGACGATCTTTTACCATAAAAAATGATTTAAACATTTTAATTTAAAAAAAATCAACTTGAATAAATTTTAATTTAAATATAAAAACTATACATGTTGATACAGTTTGATAATAAAAAAAGAAAGATTTTTATTTATTTATAATATTTATTCTTACCATTCATTATTCATTCATTTTCTATAAGATCAGAATTATCAATTTCATTTTCTTCATTAAATAAACACTTTATCTCTTGTAATATATTTAACAAACCATTCTTATTTTTTGACTTAAATCCACAATATTTTTGTTGAACACTTCTACTTGTTTGTTCAAGAAGAGATTCAATTTTGAATTTAATTTCGTTATTGGTCATATTTGATTCATTTTCTTGAGAGATGGATTCTTGTTTTGTAATTGGAATGGGTTTAAATGAAGGAGCTGGTTTATTTTTATAAAAAACTTCTATAATATAATTTTCTCGGGCTTTTTTTGCTATGTTAGTAAAGTCTTTTAATTGTTCACTTAACTCATATTCATCTCCTAGGCTTTTCCAAATGGTCCTTGTTTCTTGTGGATTAATAAATTTTCTTAAGTGTACATGAAATCGTTGGGTTTCTATGATTGATTCAGGATGAACTCTTGGTCCAATTGAATATGCATCATTAAAACCAATTGTTTTGAAAAAAATTGTTTTGCAACTAAAATTTGTTTAATAATAAATAATTTTATAAAAGATGATAGTAAATATTATTATTGTATTGATAAAAAAAGATTATATTACCTGAATGAATTTTTTACAATTACGTGCTGCAATCTGCCAATGCTTTGGTTGAGGGACAGGAGGTATTAAACTTTTTAGGTTCTTGTTAACTTCCTCCAAAATAGCATCAATTCCTTGATGTTGATCATATAACCCTGAGCGAGAAATCACACAATTTTTCTCTATAAAATTACATACAGTTGGATGAAGTTTCATTAATTGAACCTCATCTGATATCTCTATTAAGCGATATATGGGGTGTCTTCTTGCTGACCAAATCGGAGAAAATATTCTTCTTGCTGCATTTCTTAACAAAGGCTGGTTATTTCTTACACCTGTTCTAAAATTAATGATTGCTTGTAGATAGATAAATATCTGTTCAAAAATTAGTATAAATATAATTGTAATAAATTAATTGACAAATTAATATTTACCTGTTCATATTTAAATTGATAAAATGGATCATTTTGTTCTTTAGCCCAAGTGATATAACCTTCTACTGATGGAGTTGATTGACTTTTTACATATGGCCACACAAGCTCTAAGGCCATTGCTTGTCGATAAATATTGCAAATAGAATCCCAAGATTTGTGATGATCATGACATTTTTTGAAATATTGAAGCTGATTTTCTGTCCTGTAGCCTTGACACTTTGCAAAATATTTAAAGTCAATTTCCCTAAATTAGATAAAAAACATGAGTAATTATTGTTTTTTTAAAAAAAAACAAACAAAACAAATAAATAAATAACATATATATTTTAAATTTACCAATTCAATTCAACATATGCACGAAGCATGTTCATTTCTTCATGTAATTGACCAGGTATAAGAATCAACCAAGGAAATTTTTGTTTTAATTTTGTAGCATGATAATATGGAACACCATCACATACTACAAACATCCATTTGCGTGATCCATCGTTTATTCCTGATTTTTTTTCTATATGATAAAGAACTTTCTCCACATTTGCAATTGAATTAGGGTTAATATTTAAAGGATCTGGAATATAAATTTCTGGAATATGGACATTTTGATCAGGTATTGGATTTTGCGTTAAACTTATTTGTGAAGTAGAAGTTGTTGTGGGTTTAGTGTCAAAATTATAAAATTTAAAGGAAGGTGGTTTCTGTAATTGATCTGATGAACTATATTCTTTCTCAGTCACAGATTGTTTTTGTAATTCTGTTAAAGTAGGTAAACGTGCCTGACATTTGGACAGATTTGTTTTCTATTTTCTATGTCTTTTTCATTGCAACTTAAGCAATATTTATCAAAGCCATTTTGAGAATTCATGTTTCTGGCAAGGTCATCATCAATTTTGTTAAATGATTGCATTTTTTCTGTTTTTAATTGATCAATTATTTCATAAAGAAAATGATAAAGTTCATTGTCAAATTCTTGTTGCATTTGAGGTGAAGGGCTCAAAAGTTTTTTACATTGATCATGTGTAAGTGTGTTATACAACCATGGTTCTTGTGTATGTTGTATTTTAATCTCTGATCCTATATTAAATGCAACAAAACTTGTTACAATATGATATACCATAGTATTAAAACCACAATCTAAATAATTCTTTTGACCTTTCTTTTCATTGTCAAAGGCCATAAATAGAAGTCCTTCAGGTAGGGGTTCTTCTCTATCTGATAAGCTCTCTAACCACTTTTGGAAGTGAGAATAACCTCCTCCACTTGTTATATGATTATCAATATTTATCACTTTTTTGGATCATGCTAGTGAATATTTGATAGCAGATTCTAAAAGATTAATTTCTGATACATATTTCCCATGACGTCATCCATATATTGCATCAACTGCAACAGATCTTTTAAAAAGTTTTTCTTGGTTTAGGTCATCAGAATTATAACTATTTTGAGTTGGAGTTTCAATGAATTTCACAACAACTTGATTATGTTGATTAACCAAGTTGAAGTGTGTAATTCATAAGATTTTCTAATGAAAATCTATTACTATGTCATCATAAATTGATTCACACTCAGCATTTTCAATTTCTTTATAGCTTCTATATATGTTTTTGTTGATTGCTAAAACATGAATCTCATTGTTCAAGGAGTTATTTATTTTTGCTAAATTGCTCTTCATATAGACTCTGAATTTCATTTAAGTGATTATAAGTATCTAAATCCTTTTTTAATTCTGATATTTCATGTCCATAATTTTCTAATTGTTGTTGTAGTTGCATGATTTTATTATTAAGATCCAAAACAATTATTGATTATTTTTGACATTCTGATTCATTCACTTTACAACTTCACTTTGAATCAATTTGATGCCCTTTGAAGGATCTAGATAATTTAATGTAACAGCCATTCCAAATGCAATGGAATTTTTTTCTGTAGTTTCATGATCAATAATTAAATTAAGATAAGTATAAGTTGGATTATTGGACTTAACAGGTTTGTTTAATTTCATATAACACTCCCGGGTAATTTCAGCATCCTTAAATCTTTGTTCTTATTTTTGTGTAACTTGCCGATTGAGGCTCCGAACGAATCAATTAAATCCGAACCAATTCGAATGGATTCGAATTCGGATTGATTTGATTTGATTCGATTCGAACGGATTCAAATATATTAATATAATTTGGTTCGATTCGGTTCGAACGGATTCGAATATATAATTTGATTCAATTCGGACTGATTCGAATATATAATTCGATTTGAACTGATTTGATTTGATTCAAACTGACTGGTTCGAATCTATAATAATAACTG